ACAAACCTTCCTTAAGAATCACTCTATCTATTAAAAAAAACCGCGTCAAAATCCGTTGCGTAGTTTTAAAGATCTAAGCATACATACGGACATACAGCGAAAGCGACTTTGTTTTATACTATGTATTGATACGGACATACAGCGAAAGCGACTTTGTTTTATACTATGTATTGATTTGTTGACGATTCAAAAGTACCAAACTATGGTTAAATTGAAATAAATGCTTTGACTTTGACTTGTTATGTTTTAAAAAAGATAAAAAAGATATTATCCTCCAAAAATCCTATAACTACAAAAGAAATTTAAATATGCCTGCCTCGTTTACCGAGTGGTCGCAAGTGCGATTGCCGGGCAAGGGGTCTCGGGGTTACTGGGTTTATTAAAAAAAAATCTCAGTAGTAGCACGGAGTCTGGAATTGTGCCCGGTATATGGCAATAGGCTCACCCCCTATTACATGGGACTCATAACATAAATAGTGAAATGTAGGTGTTACTGTGTTCAGTGTACCCGTGTACCAGTGTTTGGGGATAAAAAGGCGTGACGTTATGTATGTATGTATGTACCTCTAAATTTCGATATTTACACTGATAAAAGTTAAATCGTTTGAAACAAAGTACAATAAAAGAAGAATTCCATTTTGTTATATGTATGAAATAGTCTTTCATGTTGTTTTCCGATATTCCGATAATAATTACAAAATCATCATCATCATCATCATCGTCAATAGCCGGAAGACCATTGCCACTTCAGGTCTGCAGATTTTGCGAGGTATGTCGGTAACTCTAGTTCTTTGGCGAATTTCCATATTGCGGATGTTGTCGTGCAAAGAAACCCCGAGCATAGCTCTCTCCATCGCGCGCTGAGCGACTTGTAAGTTTCTGAAGAACGCCTGAGGTCAAGGACCACGTCTCAGTACCATACGTCTCTAGCAACACACACTGGTTAAATATCCTGCTCTTTAGGCACTAAGGAACTATCGATTAGAAAGATCTGAGTTGTTGTTGTATGAAACAAAATATACTACTTTCAAAAGAAAACTTAATGAATATCTCATCGATAAATGCTATTATAGTTTGAGAGTTTTTTGAGAATAAACAACAAAACGAAAAAATAAAGAAATGAAATAGTAACAATAGAAAGGAAAATGATGGTAATGATAATGAATAAATAAAATTGTTCAAATAAGGAGTTGGTAGATATGTATAATATGTAGAATATAAACGAAAATCAATTGAAGCAATTGTAGTAATACTTTAATAATATGTTATGTAAAATCTTTGAATAATATAGTGTTTTTTATTAATTAATATAAATTGCAGCACCTTTACAGGGTCATGTTGATACTGCTTAACCAAAATAATATGTATTATGTATAACACCTTGGTACCTACACATGAAGCAATAAAGATTTTGAATTTGAATTTGAATTATTCTACAATTCTAAAATGATAAAAAATAATTGAGTATAATCGAAACAAAAAACGTACCTGCTTTGTTAGAGAATTGTAAACTTTAAACCAGAACACATTAAGGTTACATTTAAGCAACATTCGCGTAAATTCAAATAGTTTGGCACTAATATCGTCGTATGGGGAAAGCCCAGAAATATTAGTGAAGAACATCAATCATTGATATTCTCTTTTTACAGTCTATAGCAAAAAACCTGTGAAAAGGATGTGCACGGCAGTGTGATGATTGATAGGCATTCTTACTCGAGGCTATTGCTTGTGATGAATGAACCAAATATGGCTCTTTAGAATTATAAGAAACATTTCACTGTCATCAATTACCTGTAATAAAAACAGTGCAGACTCCCATATAATGGAAGCTACTAAACACATTATTGTGACAAATGTTCTACTATTCTGTTTGCACCATACTGAACAAAATCATGATGGGGAAAATAAAACGTTCAGACACTTAAAGCGCAGAATATTTTTTATTCTGTGCCCGTAGAATAAATAAATTAAAAAAATACTTAATTCACGGTACAGTAACTAGATATTGTAAAATAAAATAACGGAATAAATTCCCAAAAATTCCTATAAAATATAAAACAGTTACTGGATGATTCAAGTTTCGAAATATATGAAATATTTTTTCACGAATAAATGTTTTTATGAAAGTATCAATTTTCAATTTCACGAGAACACAGTTTTATCGAATCATTTTGACTGCTTTATAAATATTTATTATTGATAAAGATTTATTGTAGTGGTTAAAGCATCACTGTTCAGTTTTTGCAATTTAATCTGATTTCATGTAAGTACATAACCATTAAAGTTACTGAAAAAGAAAACTCGAAAAACGTAATCGTTTCTTTCGTTCGATATAAAACCTTTATCACTCAGGTATAGAATGTAAGTTTAGATCATTACCTACCCTCTCGTTACAATCCTGTATCTACATACTTAACTTTCTTTACGAAGTTAATATAACAAAGAACCGTGACTTTAGATGCCGTACTTAATTCTGTGTATCATTAAAAGTTTTTATCTTATACTAAGCTCACGTAGGATAATATGAAACACTATCTATACCTAAGGTATTATGCTAAATCACCTACAACAGATTATACGTCGCTCCACGTAAACTATACTGACATCTAGCCAAATCTGGTTCACTTTCAGTGCGGAACCCAAAAAGTAATTAGGAAAAGGCCAGGAGAAAAATAGCATACATGATGCTATGTCTATTTAGTATCCATTTATTAAAACTTACTTTGCATCAGTCACCACAAAATTTTCTAAAAGTTACTGAGTTTGTTTATTTAAGTAGATTCATCAAAATTTTCGGCTCATGTCTAACTAGATAGCCTTCATGCCTATTCCGAACGCCTTGATTTTGGAGAATAGGATCATAAAAAATGTTAAGGTAAGTAAAATGGTAGTAAGTTTGGAAGAGCCATGCTTCGGCACGAATGCGCCGGCTTGACCGGAGTTATACCACGGTCTCACAGAAAACCGACGTGAAACAGCCACAGCGTTGTGTTCCGTCGTCTGAATGAGGTTACTGAAGGCTCAAATCTCCCCTCCCTCCCCAGTTGCCCAAAATCCCTGAATCCCCAACAATTCACCTAAAAGGCCGGTAACGCACTTGTAACGCCTGTGGTGTTCCGGGTGTCTATGGGCGGCGGCGATTGCTTACCATCAGGTGATCCGTCTGCTCGTTTACCGGCTTATCCCATAAAAAGGGTGAATTGTTTGTCTAACCAGCTCGTTAACTACAAAGGCATGGTGAGTGAAGGAGCAATCTCAGTTCATTTCTCAGTGATTAAAGAGTCCGAGTCAATAAATTATTGGTTTTCACAAATCTTCTACTGAGTGAGTGCTGACATCAGTAATGGTATGAAAATTTATGGTTTGACGAAAATTTTCGTTCGCTAGAAGGAGAGGGCAATTGCACCTCCCACTCATTCCGCCCTTATTATTCCTTTTTACTTTTATTTTTGCAAAAACGTTATGCTTTTATTATTCTCAATGTTTTTCTGATTATTATTGAGTAGTCAGCCAATTCATTCAACATAAACTTCTTCAGCATTCAGTACTAAGACAGCAAAAAACGAAATACCCTACAGTTCTCTTTTATATGTATAGAATTTTATAACACATTTTTCATAGAAAATTCTTAAGAAAATTCTTCTACAAATCAGATTCCGAAGAAAATATTTCTTTATCAATGTCTAAGTAAATTTTTGCTGGGGTTGATATTAAAAAAATATATTTTTATTTTTCTTAGTCATAATTGTATTGTAATTTTTTGTTGAAAATTTTAAAATGAATAAATACCTAGACTGTTATTCATAGTACATAGTTTCTATTCCTTCTGACAAAATGTTAATAATGTAATTTGACTATGAATATTTTTACTTTTACATTATAATATATAAATAAACACCACCTTAGTACACCAAGCTATAACTACCTCATTTATCTTACTATAGTGTTCTATCCACCCCAAGGTTGCCTGGTAGATATCGCTTTTATAGTGATAAGGCTGCCTTTGTACCCTATTTTCTTGATTTTGTAGCTTGATGTACCTACTGTCTGAAATTGGTGCAAAATAAAGATTATTCTATTCTATTCTAATGCCACTTTATTGGGATTTTGTACACACATTTTACATTCAAGTTAACAGAGCAATTAACTTGTCATTTAAATATGAACTTTAATTCGTGTGTTGTATGATATACATATTTCATAACGTCAATACAAAATGCTGTAAACGCGCCGCCCGCACGTCGGCTACTCGTTTAAAACCTTTTTATATTGTTTCCGTGCCAGAGCCATGTTGGAGCCGTGCTTGTCGTCGTGATGTTCAAACTCCACCATGACAATAAACTATTACATTGTTAATTCTAAAAACATTGGAATTAAATGACATTAGTATGGTGGAATTTTATAGTTATATCCTGTTATGAGAAAAACATCAGCTAATCAGCTTTGTATTAATTATTACGGTAAAGATTTGCAGAAACGCAGCGAAAAGTGTAATAAAAATTCTATCGTTAATTAACATCGACTTATTGTTTATTTTATGTCCAATACTTCGCGACAACATCGGAGTTGTAAACAGAAAAAAATGTACAGTGTAGTTATTTCAAAATATTCTTAATTAAAGCATGACTGTCGATATTTCTTTTCCTCTTTAATTAAAGGATATTTTTCTTCAAGTTTTTATTTCTGTCTCTACTAAAGAATAATCTTTGAGTTTATTAGTAGGTAGTAGGTACTGGTTTATTTAAAGACCTTTTTATGTTATTTTTACGTTAACTTTGTTCGAATGTCTACCTAGTTCCTTCGTCGAGTTTGAGTAAACTAAACTGCGACTGGATTGTTAAGGCTTTCTAAAATTAGTTGGAATTGGAAACTATATAGGTGATCCTTATTTCTAGTTATTTATAGCAACTGTATCTAACATATAATATTATTTGAAAATTGTTTACCAACCAGAATATTTCGTCGATTTACATAATCTAAGCTTTAATTACTGTTTCCAGTACGCGATCTGCAAGCGCTTCAAATATAACTCGGAATCGGATGGGATGCCCAGGGAACATTGGTTGGACTATGCTGTCGAGAAATATGGTGAAAAACTGGTTGCTGATATGAAAGTGGTGTTTTCCATACTATATCTCTACTTGCCAGTACCCATATTCTGGTCACTATTTGACCAACAGGTATATATTTTATTTTGCTGGAATTTTTATGTATGTATGTTCCTATTTCTATATAATTTTAGAGATTTGTATACCTGTATTGCACTTTGCCCAGTTTGTAGATAGAGTAGCCGCTATTCTCATATCCTGATGTTCGTATGTCTATTTATATTATATTTGTGCATATATCTATTATCTATTTTATGTACCTATATATCTGATATATATCTATTTATGTTCGTATATGTATTTCTATTTATGTATGTATTTCAACTGTTTTGTTATATACATATATCCATTGTATTTAATTAAACACCATGGACTACCCACATCGCTATGTTTATCTCTTCTAACGGTTACTTATCCACCCTAAAGTTGCCTGGAAGAGACTGCTGTAAGCGATAAGGCCGTCCATTCTACATCATGCCAAAACTAATTTGTCACTTTATTATTGTCTTTTGTAAATGGTGTACAATGAAGTGTTTATTATTATAAAGGGCTGAAACTATTGTATTGTTACACCTCTACATCACTAGTGTGAAGTGAACAGTAACCATGGCTAATCACAATCAGAATCAGCTATGTTAATATTATTCTGACATTTGTAAAAAACTTTGTTACATCAAATTGTTGATCACTAAATTAAAGGGTACCTGTACAAGTTGAAAGGTTAAGTCATCAAGGTCTATATTCAAGTCTCATTCTTGACCTTTGATGGTTTTAGTCAAGTTGTGCTATTTTTGTATCGAGGTGAAGGCTGTGGGGGTCGGTTTCCAGTCGTCAAGATACTTTGATGCCTCTTGTCAATAAGTTTACCTGAACAAATTATACGTATTGGGTGCTAGTGTTACTGACGCTCGAATACTGAAAGACAATTTTAAAACTTATGTATATAAAAATGAAACCCTTTTCTCATTGTCACGACATAACTTGAGAACGGCTAGACCGATTTGGCTGATTTTTTTGTTGTGTTTGTTATTGTCAGGAGAAGGTTCTTATGACAGAAAAAGTCCTTAAAAATCCTACGGGAATGGGAGAAAACGGGATTCCGCGTACGAAATATTTAAATATCGTGCCAACTCTGTTATTTTACAAACAATTTGTAGTGACAGAATCGTACTTAAGCGCGACATAAAGTTGAATACCGTTTCAGTATTACATTTTTTATGACATGAGATTGCGATCGACTGGTCAAAATTTTATCACGGTTTTCTGTAATTCATTCGGATATCATAAATCAGTTCATCCTCTATTCAATAGGACTTGAATCATTCATTGATGAAAAATTAGCGCATTCATCTATGAACATTTTTACCTACCCATTTATAGACTAAAGATACAAAGTTAGGTTATATTAGTATCTTAACTTTTTCCACTGGTGCTTGCTTTTTCGCGACTGCTCTTTGTTTATTCAAAACCATGGACTTTGTTTAGGAAAGGTCGTAGTTACTTTGTAAAATGTACTGGAGAAAGATAAGACAGATGCGCATAGTTGCAACACAACATTGCCACTATTTTCAATGCTTTGAAAGTCTTTTGTATTACATTCTAATACCTAGTTGTTGGATGTGTTACGAGTTGTATTCATTTTTATAACTTAACTAAATAAATTAACTTTTATAATCGTGACTTATGTTTCGAAGGAATGTGCCTTGTGGTCGAATGTTGTTATAATTCTAAAGGCAAAAATTTCATCAATCGACTATTAATAAATTAGTATTTTTTTATTATTAGTTCATCAACAAATGTCGGTCTATAAGAATTTTGACACATACTTAACATCTTTTCTGTCGATATATGAGTCACAATACTTAGGAATCACATCGTGTCTCGCGTAGGTCTGCGTTCTGACACTTCACAGGTTAAGACCTTTACAGACTAATTTCGCACGGTTCTCACACAATTTTTGTCTTATATTTTAGTCTGGACTCGGAAAGAGACGGATCTCTGAGTTTGTTTCTTCTCAGGGTAGTCGGTAAAGAAATACTGGCCTCATTTAATGTTGACATTTAAAAAAAGGTCCTGTTTATTATTCTATTGACAAAAATAATTTCTTTATAATATCTACTTACAGGGTTCTCGTTGGACTTTTCAAGCTTCAAGGTTACGAAGTGAGGTCTTCGGCGTCACCTTAATGCCGGACCAGCTGCAAGTGATGAACCCTGCGATGGTTCTTCTCATGATCCCGGTCTGTCCAGGAGGGGCCTGGCCTATACTCCCAGATATGCCACCACTCCAGAAAATGTTCATCGGTGGAATGCTAGCTGCAATGGCATTTGTTTCTGCTGGAATCCTGCAAATTGGCATAGAGGTACCTACGAGCTTAAAACTGTCAGAGTAAATGTTTCGCAACTGTCTTCATTTCCACGTGGAATATCTATTTCAAAATGAACAATGCAGATGCTCTGAATCTGTCTAAAAGTGGTATGCAATGCTCATTGTCTAATTCATGGCAACTGGCATATATTATGTGGCTAAGTTTGGAACAAAGTGAAATACTTAGTCGTATCTTTGTGCTTTTGGGTTTTTAACTGAGTTTTGTATTCGGTTCGCCAGTTTGATATAAACAAAGCGTTCTCATGGGGTTATATGTATGATATTGGGCACTTAAACTGTCAAACACCGCGAGGACACCGGTGACCGCAACCTATTGTTCTTTAATTGTGTCTATAATGACGGTACTCAAAGAGTTAAATAGTACCTACTTTTTCTTATTGGGCTAAGGTTTCTTTTATTTGCAGCGATCCACATTGCAAGTTCCTGGTCACCGTCAGACAGGTTTGGTGATAATGAACACGTTGGGTTGTCCGGTGGACATGGCGATCCGGGGTGAAGGTATAGCGACGGTGGAGCAGCACGGCACGGCCCTCATGACTCCCTTGCCCCACAAAGGTCTCACTGTCACAGCCACCAGCCCTGTGAACTGTGCTGGAAGAGTTATGAAGAAGCATATCGCGAAAGAAGAATTGAAAACAGTGGCTGGAATGGTTGGTTTTCATAAATTTTTGGGAAGGCAAAGTAATTAGTTTTTCTAATATTTTGTTAATTACCCTTTTTTAAGTGCGTCAAAATACTATCGTCTACTTATATCATACTTTCTACTAATGTAATAGCAAAAGTTTGTGAGTATATTGAGGATACTCTTTTCAAAAGAGTATATTTTACACAAAAGAGTCTTTTGTGTTAAAATCTACTAAACGGGCTTCGATGGAATTTTACACTAGGATGGAGTTCACATTACCTACAATTTATAAAGATCGTAAGCTACGTTTAATCCACATAATTATAATGTAGGCGAAGCCATGGCCACAACTTCTGATTTTTGCTGACAAAACAGGACTTATTTACATTTAATTAATTGTTTTCGTGATCAATTCCCAACCAAGGTAAAATTATGATGAGGATTATCAATTTCAAATTTCATTTGCACGATATCTTCTGCATGAAATCATAACAAAAACAAAAGGCGTATGTTGGAAATCGTCCACCTACTTACGAACTCGTCCCATGTACTTGTTACATAGCATATGTCGATACTCTAATTAGCGTGTTCGTTGAGGTAGAACAGATTCATGATATTGTAAAATATGTATAAGTTTTATTCCACCTCGATGCTCGAACGTATCCATGTTCAACGCGATGCAGTCACAAACCAATTTCAAAAGCTTGTTTTTGTTTAGTTCTTCTCTGAACCAGTTTCCTAATAATGTAATTGAGATAGAAAATACATGTAGGTGTTAACAATAAATGGTTTTATTCTCTCGACATTAATCGATGTACGATTTGTTTCCACTTTGTGTTTTATTAATGGTTTGAGCGGAGGTTTGCTACTGTTATTGCAAAGTTTATTCTGTACTTTTTGTTCTGATACCTTCATAGCTAATTCCGAGAATGTTGACTGGATCAAGGTCAAGTTTTTGTTTGTTAAAAGTTTGTATTGTGTTTGTAGTTAAATGTGTTTATAAATAATTTGTGTAACAATATGTGTAATATAATTTTGTTGATAATTAGGCTCTTGGCACACAGTGAAATAAGTTATCTGAAGTTTTGGACATACAAGTAACAGCATCGGGCGATACATCAGTCCTGATTAATTTTGAGCTGACATTTTAAAAGACTCGTGCCTACGCTAATATTGTAATAGGTGGTAGCTAATTTTATATCTACACGACTACACGTGTATGACATATATATATGTGTATATATTAGCTGTCTGTTATTATTTGGTTATTGTTACTTGTTGGATAATGCAAATATGCGGCACACATGATTGGAGCTCTTTATAAATCGGATGCAATAATAGTTGTGTGTAATAATAGGTTATTATTGTTATTCATTGCAATGCTATGGTCATTGATTAGTGTTAATGAGTATGCACATTTTAAAGAACTATTTAATAAATTCAAAAGTAAAAAATAGTTTGTAAGATAAGGTATGAAAATTTATACTGATTGCAACAATGTTTTAATTACTGGTAGAAAGTATTTTCAACGACTGGGTGTTTTAGTTTGTGCTCATAATTAGCCTGAGTAGGCAATGATAGTAATAGCTCATTCTCTTCAATTATGAAATTCAAACAGAACTTATATTTTTCGTCAAAGTTTTGCAGTTTCCTAATTGGAGGGGAGTTAACATTTACCTCTTATTAAGTTCATATTTATTTTATGGTGTAATAATTCAAATTCTTCGCAGAAAACCGTAAACGGAAAACGAAATGATTTCAAGTTAGGCGTCAATGCTAGGTTCCTGGTAAAACGCCAGTGCCAAGCCTCGCGCACTGCTGTTATGAAACAAAAAAAAAGCAAATGACAAAACTGTCACCCAGATTTTCGTTTCTACTGAATTTTTACCAAATTCATCGTATACAGGAAATAAATAAAAAATGTAGCTGTGAAATCTGATCCGAACACGTTGCTATGTTGTACATGTTTTCCAACACATTTTAGGTAGGTAAGTGAATAAACACATGCATGCAAAGTTTTTAAGGTTTCCGGGGCCTTTCTCGTTATGTGTTTTTCTCCCACATGCGGATTTGGTCTCGTACAAACCGCCTGAATCCTATAATTTCATAGAAGTTTTTCTCCCATGGAGTGGGAGCGCGCTATCACACGGGGATTATGTCTACATGCGGGTGAAAATCCGCGTGACAAACTCATTTTCATTTATTTTAATTTAATTTATTTCTAAGGTAGGAAGACAGGAAAATATTTAAGTAGACGTATTATTGTAATGCTAGGTGTATTTTACACAGCTGTGTTTTGTCAAAGTCATTATGAATTTAGACGTTAGTTTATGAACGTACTGCCTCTTGCCTGCTTCGTTGGCCAAGTGGTCGCAAGTGCGACTGCCGGGCAACGGCTCTCGGGTTCGATGCCCGGGTCGGGCACAGTATTACTGGGTTTTTTTTTAATTCTCATTACTAGCACGGAGTCTGGAAATGTGCCCTATAAATCGCAATAGGCTCGCCTCCTATTACATAGGACTCATAACATAAAATAGTGAAAAGTTGGTGTACAGTGGCATAATGTGCACCTCTGCCTAACCCCTTCGGGTATAAAAAGCATGATGTTGTGTTATGTTTATGAACGTACTCACCTATTTCTCGCTTTATTCTATGTAAGAGAAGAAATTATATATCATCACAGCATTGGTAATATTACACTTATGTATAAATGTTGTTATTTTCATTAAATAGTGGTTTGACATTTAATAATAGCTTATCATTTATCAGTACTGCACTCGACAGGAGTTTGTATTGTTAATAACATTTACGTAAATTTGCTTTTCAGTGGTAGTGACCACCGAATTTGAAGTAACTGTTCACAAAATGTTGTGAACAGTCGCCACACGCTATCATAGTGTGGGTGTGTGACAACTGCTCCAACAAAAACATGGCGTCGTGTGGTTATTCAACGTCAGTTGCTTTCCACCAACGTTATTTATTAAAATATTGTATTATATAATATTGTATATTGTATTATTATTCGTCTGATAGGTTGGCAATAATCTCTTTAGAGTAAACTATAAGATATTAAAATAAGATATTTAAGCGTAGCGCCCAAACAGCAACGTACTTTTTGCAGATTCGTAGTGGTCTGTTTTATATCATGACTAGCTTTTACCCGCGGCTTCGCTCGCGTCAGAAAAGGATAAAAAGTAGCCTATGTGACATATACCAATACACACAGCGCCATCTATACCAATACTTTTGTTTTCACTCGGGGATATCAAATTTTTCTGGGATATAAAGTACCCTATTATTTAATCCGGACTTCTAGCTTTACGTCTGCAAAAATTCAAAGCAATCCGATTAGTAGTTACGACGTAAAAGCGGAACAAACAAACAAACTCACTTTCTGATTTATAATATTAGTAAGGATTTGCTTTGTCTAGCATGTGTGCATAGTAGTCAGCCTACTCATAAAACGTTAGAAAGTTAAGTTACTACGATTTTAATCGAGTTCTAGCATGTGTCCCAGGCCTAGATGTCTATATGCTAACATCAACTTCAAAATTCAATCGATTAAAAATCGAGTTGGAAATCGTTGCAAATCTACTCGGCTCTAATATCCTTGAGTAAACTGTTTCCGCAATCTCATCTGGTACAGTAAGGCTTAAACTAGTTAGAACATAGTCGTGGGTGGTCTGGATGAGGTCGTAATTGGCCGTAATTATTGCATCGCGCATCTCTCGAGATACGATTCTGTTGTTGTTCTGAGCTATCTGTTTAGTTTGCAACTTTATATTGGGTTTGATTTATTCATTTGCACATACCTAAATTGGTGTTCTTCTTTAAACTTTGTGAAAATGGTTATCAGGTCGATTTATGTGATCAATGGATTAATTAATTCTTTCTGATTTTTTTAAAGAGTTAATACGTGAATATAATGATCCGCAAATGAGGCACTGTTCGTAAAATAAAATGAAATATATCTTTTATAATTAGGCATATCTTTGTTTTTACACTTAAAATTTCAACGAATATTGTGATTTGCAAACAACATGATTAACAACAGAAATCGAATTTACTTTAGCCATATTTTATTCTTTAATGAATAAAATAATGAAAGCAAGATAATTAATGCGTACATTGGATTATATTTATGGTTTGCTTGTTCGTTTGCAGTTCATGCCAGTTGTAATTGGACAGAATTCTGATGATCAAATCGGCTTGTATTTTATGGATCCGAATCCTTTTGTGAAGTCGCTGACTGGGAAACCGAAGTTGAAGTAAGTATTAAGTATTTATATAGAATAGTTATATCTCTATATAGTTATAGTTTTTTTTTTTAAGGGGGGAAAATCATAGTTATAGTAAAGTTATATAGAACTGTATAGTTTGTGTTCTCGACCACAAACTAATTGGTGATTGATACATAAAATAATTATAGTACAGGTATAGGCCGCTCGGTATTGTATATGTATTAACATAACAACAGATGTTCTTGTAAATAGTGAGATCGTGTTTCGCTTTAACAAGTGACGTCACAACCTGATTTTAAGCCAAATGAGGTTGGTAAAGAGGCAAGTACGTACTCTGTGTGTATGAGATAATCATACCCACTTTTCCATAGCGTAGACGAGGTTTTCGGAAATGAAAACCTGAGTATCGAAGTCGATAGTCAGTTATTAACAGGCACTTTTGTGTCTAGTATTCCATAGACGCAATGCTGTTGATTACTAACGCAACATGAACCTATTATCAGAAATTGGGCGTGCACCTGGAACCTCGTTGCTCCGGAGTAATTTGAAAGTAATCGAAGTCCCAATCAATGGCAAAACAATATTACCGTTCGAGCTTCTGACTATAACCGCAGTAGCGTGTTTTTTGAACTCATAACATAACATAACATCACGCCTTTTATCCTCGAAGGGGTAGGCAGAGGTGCACATTATACCACTATACAATGTAACACCCACTTTTCACTATTTATGTTATGAGTCCCATGTAATAGGGGGTGAGCCTATTGCCATATACCGGGCGCAGTTCCAGACTCCGTGCTACTACTGAGAATTTTTTAAAAACCCAGTAATACTTTGCCCGACCCGGGAATCGAACCCGAGACCCCTTGCCCAGCAGTCGCAATTGCGATCACTCGGCCAACGAGGCAGCGACTTGAACTCGATTACGTTTTATCGAAATGATTACGTACTGAGCGAATATTACGAATTATTAAATTTATATATACACTATATTGGCCTATTTAGTAGATTGATGAAGTATGGCTTTAATGCCCATCTATGTCCATCACTTTACATTATTTACGTGCAGATGTAAAATAAAATTAAAATTTCTAAGAAAGAATATTCTGAAAATGTAGGCACGCTCAAAAGAATATCGAATGTCGAAATACTAAGTTTTGATGTGCGGAAAGTGCACAGAACGTAGCCTTATTCCAGAAGTGTAAAAGCCCGCCAGTCAGTGTCAAATAGTTCTATAGAAGTGCACCAGTCTACACCTACATTCGACGTTCCTCTGCTAAATATCAAGTCAAAATTTTTAAATATATTTCTGAGCTATATATATACCACTGTTTCGCGACGGTTGAGTTTCTAGAAAAAGTTTAATACTCTGGATTTTTTAGATATCCGCACATTTTAATGATTTTATTTTTGGTTTGAAGTATGTTTCTCGTCCCGTTACGATAAACGTAAGGGTGATATTTCCTGCAGTTTTCGCTGAGTTTCCAAATTTTCTTTTCATGCAAAACTTTTGCTGACACTAGCGACCACAACAAAAAGTATTATCCAATTTACTGCGGAGTTATGCGTGTACCTTGGGTTTCAGCGATTTCTTTACATAACAACTTCAAAAAAAAATGGAGGAGGTTCACGTTTCGACTGTATTTTTGTTTTTGTATCAAGGAGGTATATATTTTTGTTTTTAGAATAGTAACTAGCAGCCTGCTTCATTTTCAGATTTTTCTCGTGGTGTCGAATTTTCCTTAAACTACGTATAGTATAATATCGTACACGCAAAGGAGTTTCTCAAAGGAGTTTGTATATTATGTAAAACATATTCAAATATGTTTTACAGTTTTGAGTTTTGGTAATTTATTTATTTATTTATAAACTATGTAGGGGAGCGAGGGGCTTGTTGTAACAGTTTTCATTAAAACTCATATATCTTAGGATCTACTGATTCAATTTCTACTAAATAAAGATGGGTGGATGCTATAACTCTTCCTCTACCAAATGAAGTAAAAATAATACCATAACTATGGGTCATTATTTTACAATCAATTATTTTCTAGATGAAGTGCGGTGTTACAACTTACCTCGTGCTTGGGGCAAGTTGTAACGTCTACCGGGGCAAGTAGTAACGACAAAAAAAACAACAATAATACCTTTAATTATTTATTCTTTGTTTATTTTTAACAAATTTGACATTTTTTTAAAGTAAATACTATGTAATTCTTATCAAAAATCAACTCAAATACACTTTTTTAGTAATCAACACCTAAAAATTAAGTAATTAACAGTTTTATTTAGTTAAATACTACTTATAATCTTCATAGCACTTTTGAACCACAGTAAGTAATTAAATTATTTATATTTAGGTATGCTTCGTAATTATCTCTCCTTAATATCTATCTAAAAAGTATTATTCTTATATAAGAATCAACATTTGGTTGGTTTCATTATAATTAAATTCAGTCTTCATCTGAGTTACAATTAATACAAATAAAAGATATAGTGTCTCCTGTAACACATCCTACATGTGCCCACATCTGACAAACTATACACTTTACCCAATCTTCTTTATTTGAATCTGTGTAAGCTTCACCACATACCAGACAATACCACTCTTCTGATTCAGATTCTGAATCTGAACATAAAATCTTTTTTTTAGCTCTGTCCACGCCGGTTTTATTTTTTGTTGATTTACCTTTGCCTTTCCATAAAATTTTGGAACCAGTCAGTACCAGCCATATTATTTTGATGCCAAGAAGGAGGAATGTTTTCAGCATTAAGCTGCACACCGCATTGGTAAGCTAGTTTCCTTACTTCTGTAGGAAGTAGACCAAAATATATATCAGCGCACTTGAGTAGGTAGGAAGCGATCTTACCTTCTTCTTCTGCAGTAAATACTTGTCTAGACTTAGCATAACCAACTCTTAATCTTTCATTCTTCTTCTTTTTTTTATTTATCTATAAAGAGAGACGTGACATAATCCGAAAGTCTGACTAGCTTTCCGAATACTGCATTTTTTTTCTAAAACTTCAGCTGTTGGTAACTCGTACCCTTTTCGGCTTTGTGTTGCCCGCTCTGACTTTCTTTTATATACCCTCATTCTAGAACAAATGAAAAAAAATAAGTAGGTATCTACATCATAACTTGGGGCATGTTGTAACACGTTACAACAAGCCCCGGGATTTTGTTACAACTAACCCCATGGTATGATTTTTAACATTTATCAAGATAACTATTTAAACAATTTAGCAATTATAAAAACTGTTACACATTATCAGAGATAGATAAATTTGAATGGAAATAAGATATAGAAAATTTGAAATTAGTCGATAATAATAACGCAAACTGAAATTTTACGATAGTACAATTTTATATTACCTGGCAAAAATGAACCGCGTGCACACTTCCGCTCACTACGCCGATCGACGGGACACTGGCTATGGCAATATGATGCGTCGTTGTTTATAGGTCAAATCGAGTCAAAAAAATACGTTAATAGCGTTTAAGATCCTATCGCAAAGAGCCTGTTACTACTTACCCCTGTTACAACAAGCCCCTCACTCCCCTACATACTACTATCATTACAGGAACTAATACCTATACCTATACTAATATCTATTTTAATGTGTCTACCTATAAGTACGAGGCTTTTGTTGTAAAATTAATGGCGGCAATAACTTGGATTTAGAAAGAGAACACGATATGTTTTAGTCTTGTCATTTTGGGTCGGACTTCATTGATGTGTCATTTGTTTTATTTTGCATTGTTCTAAAGGCGGCAATAAGTTGGACTCAGAAAGAGAACATGATATGATATTGGGCTTGTCATTTTGGGTCTGACGTCATTGGTGTGTCATTTGTTTTTATTTTGCATTGTTCTATAGTCAGAATTTTAATTCGATTCCAGATTTGACATTAGCTACTGTCATTTTGTGAAATAATGATATCACATATAATAGTGTAGTGATGAACACAAAAATCGATAAACAATCAGTGTGTGTGTTTTATAATAAATGTTACAGAAAGTGACAGGATAGCGATAGCGATGACGGCGACAATTTATAAAATAAATTATTACCATAATACATCTATCTGTTTTATTTGTCATGATTACATTTTTTTATTTATTTCACACACAATTATAAAAGAAAAGTCTCAGATCGTTAATTAATCGTCAAAACTAAATTATGGGTTCAGAAATATTTAATTTCCTGATATACTTAGTTTACGAGAGTAAAATTATAAACGAGAAGAATCGCTCCAGACATATTCCATTTCCATAACGAATAATTTCGCAACGTCACTATTTAGTACTTGTCATAAAGTTGCAACAATGAAATTGTCAAATCTGGAATCGAATTAAAATTCCGAGTATAGAAGCGGGCTATGGTTGCATTTAGAGAATGACCACGATATATTTTCTTCTTTATGGTTCGTATGACCTCATGAGTAACTTTATGTCACGCTTTAACGCGTTTAATGACACCTATAGAGCAGTTTTATAAGGATAAAAAATTTGCGATCTAGTATTTTTTTAAAAATTCGTTAGTCTTTTCTCGTCTCACCTTTCCCTGAATTATTTCAAATATTTCAAGACTCAAGTTGGTCCAGCCGTTTTCGAGTTTAAGAAAATATGAAACCAACAGTCTTATTATCGAAGTTCAGTTATATTTAGACATTAGATTTTAAAATACATAATTTTATTACATAGGTAAGAAGTGTATAATTGTAATATCCTCCCGACGTATCTTTTTCCACATCGGCTACCTAAATTAACCTATTTTAATTTCTTTAGTCATAATCATGGTGAGCGACAAAAAAGAGTCCTAAATATGACAGTACCTACGAATGGATTGGATGAAATATGACTTGCCTTGGACATTATCAATCATTCATTTACCATTTACTTCCCGTAAATGTTGAAATGACAGCTGATAGATGTACATTGAAAGAAAATAAAAGTGGGTCAATGGAAATGAAATAAAGAAAAAGACAAGCCGTACCCTATTCCTTATAATGAACTGTTAAAGAATATATTTTTGGGTGTGGTGTACGGAGTTTTAGACTGAATTGTTCGTTAGAGACCCTAGTGAATTCTACCACAGATTTTAAAAAGTACTTAAAATAGCTTCGCTATTACAAATTTTACAAGGTCTAGAAATATTTCATAAACCATGGCAGATGTATTTTTAATGCAGCCACTTCAACTATTATCAGAATCAATCCCGTCATAACGCGATTGCGAACCAATTTGCTAACTCTTAGTTTGCTTTGTAACTCTCACGGCGACTTATTACTCAGAATTTTGATATCCTCAGCCACTAAATGCTTTGTCCGTCTCAAATATCAAATCGTCTCTAAATCAGAACTACGACCAATTTGGACAATATCAACTTGTAGTATAAATTTAAATCTACCTTTCCATTGTAAATTGTTAGAATGCTGGAGAGTTTACTAGTCATAACTATAGTGATTCAGATATTGTTTCAACGGTGAAAATGCTTTCAAAGTTTAGTTTCCATTCGTTTAGGAATTCAGTAGAGTTCTATGGATCCCGTTGCAGTGCGGTAGCCGTACCGGACGGAATTCCGATGCTACTGGTTCTGTCAAACTTAATTTCATAGAAAGATTCTTGGACAAAGGTTATAAGGCAGCCAAGGTCCGAAAGACATTCTTCAGTGTCTTGGCTACTTCGTCGTTTGAGTGGTTATGTCAGTTGGAAGCATGAACAAAGAATGCTTTTTGAATGTTACGTCTAGTATGTGCAGGTCGCGAACCGCTCACAGCTTGCTCATCTGAAGCTCGCGTCTTGTTATTGCCAACGTATTGGTGTCATCCAAATTGAAGGTTGCGAGCTGCGAGGACACAATAGCCAGATTTAAATATCTTCAACTGATTTGCATGGTTTGTTTTTGTTTGCTCGCTTTTATGGATCCTACATTACGAGGCTTGCAGTAGAAGACAACATGAGGCTGGCTTATCCTACAGCAACAACGATTTGGTTGATTTAGAATTAATTTCATAACAGAATTCAGAATCTTAAATTAGCGTTTACATTGCCTTAGAAGCACGACAACTATTTCTTGCCTAAAATTAGGTACTTGAAATGCAATATTCGCCTTAACAAACAATTACCTGGAATGGAATGGAATAGTGCAGTTGTTTAGTGAACAGTAATTACTGTTCGATTGTTCTCAAGTTATAATTTCGAGGTATAGTGTTCTTAGGTGGGTATTCAAGCACCGACTATTTAATTTACTCGATATAATATTCATGTATTTGCGCTTATTCCTTTAAGGTGTTCGAGAAAGATAACGGTCCAAAATTTAATTTTCAAATTCTTTAATTGGTTTCAGTACTATTTGTCTGAGCGATTTCAGAACGTCCGGCATCGATTTTCTTATTACTTGCGAGGGTAGCAAGTATAACGCCCACATTCTTTTACTTTCAGGAAAAATGTTTTGTCATTTTAACTTCATAGTACTTCATTTCTAAAAATAATTATCTAATAAATCATTACTTATACACCACATCAAATTATATTGGTACTACTTAATAATATATCGGTCTGTTAACCCAGTTCATCGTGACGTGTAAGATTTTGCTCTCAGTTCCGACTTCAGACTTGGAATTCGTCGGCAAACCAACATGAATTAAATGATAAACACACAGTTATAGCGGATCTACTATCTAGTCTTAACTAGATGGCGTGGTAGTTTGTCTTTATGCTGACATGACAGTTAGCATATTAGCTTCCTAACATCTGGCTTGCCGTGCATACAACTTGTATGTTCTATCAAAGGTTGTCAGTTCTAAGTTTCGGTTATTAGCTGTGAGACTAAAGTAAAAGCTTGATTTAGCTTCTTCGCTAAACTAAGCTTACTAGTAGCAGCAGTAGTAATTAGTTAGTCTCAATTCGATTAACCGTAATGTATGTGATGATGTTTTAGTTCAATGAAAAAGGACTGCAATGTGTGTTACCTCGGCGACTTACGATGCAAACAAATGCGATTACGAATTGTTCTTAACTTAAACTTACTGCAGTAGTAAAGTTTTAAAGTTGACAGTGTTTTATCTCACTTGGCGACTTGGCGAAGCGTGAAAAGCGCAGTCTTTCTCGCTTGTCATAATGTATGAAAGTTTAGTCTGCCAAGCATGTCGTGTGAGTTTGAAAGTGTCGAAGACAATATAAATAGATATAATATGTAGAATATAGAAAGGACTATATATAGAATATAGAAAGGACATTTTATTTGTTTAGTTTTTTGCGGGTGCATATAAAAGCCGATTAAGGGTCTGCACATTTAACATAGATAGGGTAGGTATCTCTCTTTGATAAAGCTAAACTTTAAAACTGCATTCTCTAACCAGTTACAAAGCGTGTAAATTTTGCGAACTCTCTAATATAATGAAAGCCCAAACTGTCCAGCAGTCGACTGTTATAAGTAGTTAAAAATATTGTCGACTACGTAATTGATCAATATTTTTTTACAGAGTGGTTTACGTCGGTGATACAGGACCGAATAAAAACGTGTCGATAGCCGTGGAAACTGAGAAGCGACTGAGTGACATTTACTATGTGTCGGATGCCCCAGTTGACCATATTGGCGAGTCGGCATACATGTGTTTACAACCCGGCAAGTGAGTGGACACAAACATGTTTACAGAACGATAACACAACATAATATTAGGTCCTTTGAAGACGGAAGGGTATTACGCAGAGGTACACAGATACAACTTATCCATTATGTTTCATCAGTTATGTTATAGGTCTACTGTAATGGAAGGTGATCCTATTGCCATACACAGGCTACACAATTTCAGACTCCGTGCTACAACACATTTTTATCGATGATTCTTTCGTCTTTCGATAGTGGTAAAATAACAAAATAATACATTTAAATATCTTTAGACTGTAACAAGACCTGAATATGTTTCCTGAATAATAGATTACCATAAATTAATAACCCCATCCCAATTAATATTATTAAGTAAATATTTTCGACAGTTGAAATTTTATTTCATTATTACAGGATTAAAGTTGTTTTATAGGAAGCTCGAATATTATTGACGTGGAAGCAATTAGGCATAATTGGTTGGTTTCAGCATTCGTAATAACGAAGTCATTTCATCTTTTTATTCATAAAAACTGCGGAATAAAGTTGCACTAAAATATCAGTTATCATTCGTTTTTTTAAATGTTTTTTTTTTATCTGAAATGGCAGTTATGTCCGAATAACGACAATTTCATTTATCATTCTGATGAAATATAAAGCTTTTTTATGAAAAGTATTTGATAGGCTCGTTTTTGTGAGTTGAGTGATATCAGTGATTGTTTGACAATGGTGCTTGGTGACGTGACATTTTAATGTAACAATTTAATAGAAGAAATTTCTAGCTGGCAGGCAATAGAAGTCAATTATAACTATAATCAAATCCTATGAACATGCAATACCTATCAAAAGCATCACTAAATTCTTCAATATGTTTCCTTCACAGTCAATCATATGTTCAACGATTACATCGAATTATTGCTTATTTTGCTGTCAAGCGACTTGTAGCGAGGTTCCGCCATGTCATATTAAATACTAGCTGAGCCCGCGACTTTGTCCGGTCGGAATAGTGATTTACACCTCCTCCCCCATAGTCGATAGCATGATAATATGTAGCCTATATGTTGACTCGACCTGTTTGTAATATTCATGCAGAATTTGAAATAAATCCATGCAGCACTTTTTGTGTTCATCCCGGACATACATACAACAAACAGACAAAAATTGTAAATATCATATTTTTGGTTTTGGTATCGACTGTAGATCATGCCCAAAGCATTCTTTAAAAAATATTTTAAGTACAGTTTTCACTTTCCTACGATTTTATGTATTTGTATATGTATAGATTAGATTTAGATATGTATTTGTATAGATATATATATAGATATAGATAGAAGAAGATGTAGATATTTCTCGTGTCAAAGATTTATAAATGTCATATCATTTTATTGGAACTTAAACTTCATCGTTCTACTAAAGCTTGTTGTGAAGGGCATAATAGTAATCTGTAAAGGGTATTGAATAGACTCTCAGGACGATTGACTGAAATGCAATTTTGGTTGCAATCACCAATCGATTTATAGAACAAGCTAATCTAGTACCGGCTAATATCGAAGTTATTGTTTTTCTTTGGTTCGATACAAAATTTAATGTACCTCTAGATAATACGAATAATATTCCTATTACATTGTGAAGTCATATTTTTATAACATTCAAAGGCTTCATTTTATAAATGTAAATATTTAATCAAAACTATTTTTCCGTTTTCTATTTAAATAAAACAAAGCTAATTCAAAGAAAAGCTTACATTGGTGGAAACATCGTTTTCATTGTAAAGGTATTTTCTTAAAGATCGTAAGAGTCTAGAAGTTAATCTAGGTTGGTATATGGAATTTTTATTTCATGGTAGAAATAATTTTCATACTATTTATTTGTAATATATTTTCATTTGTTTGATAATACATAACATCACGGCCTTTTATCCCTGAAGGGGTAGGCAGAGGTGCACATTATACCACTGTATATTGTAACACCCACTTTTCACTATTTATGTTATAAATCCCATGTAATAGGGGGTGAGCCTATTGCCATATACCGGGCACAATTCCAGACTCCGAGTTACTACTGAGAATATTTCGGGAATCGAACCCGAGACCCCTTGCCCAGCAGTCGCACTTGCGACCACTCGACCAACGAGGCAGTTGTTTGATAATAACATTGCTTATTTTAAAATGTTACTGTTCAATGACGTTTTCATTTCTGAACTGCGTTAAAGATGAGGAATGACGTATATTGTGAGATATATTTGCGTGCGCTTATCATACGATTACTCTAACAAGACAGTGTAGCATACTAGCACCAATTGAAAGTACGCAAATGCATCTTATAAGAGAGGTACAAAATACAGAAGTACTAAAATCTAGGAACAAACTTGTTTTGTCTAGGTTTAGATGGCGAGCGTTGAGTGCGGATGGCGAAATGTCAGGCTCTGGTGAGGGGTACCTTCGAGCTGGTGGAGTATACGTGCTGTGCTTGAGAGAACGGCTCGGCAGGTTGGATGCAGCAGTACTACATGCACCCAATCCTCCCAACGAGCTGCATCTAGCCTGGATAGTGCCACAATATCTGCTGGTCTCCGTTGCTGAGATCATGTTTGCTGTGTCGGGTCTTGAGTTTTCATTTACACAGGTAAGAATGAATTAACGTAAGGTCAAGAATTGTACACAAAAATTATTTTATAATTCAGAAATCATACGCTATACCGTGCTTGGCTGTTTCATTTACCACCAATCAACTTAAGATATATTGTTGAATGTTCCAATATTAATAAAGGAAAACAACAGATCTGATTCGGAGTCGCGGAGAACCTAACGGGTTACCGGGGCTCCGGCTTGACGTGCAGGAGAAGGAATGGGGTGGTTTTTAGTCAGTAAGAGTCTGACACTCCCTCCCGCCTCACCCAGGCGGGAGCAGAAATTTGATAATTTTCCCCCCTTAAAAAAAAAAAAACTACTTTTAATTTTTTTAATATTGTGTTGATGCAGTAACTCACATCTTTGTTACAGGCACCAAAAAGTATGAAGACAATAACCATAGCTGCTTGGTACGTCTCAGTGGCGTTTGGAAACTTGATCGTTATTCTCGTTGCCCAGACCAAGATATTTCAGTCCAGGGTAAGTTGGTTATGAGTTTGTCACAACTGTGACTTGTGAGTGTTTATCACAACTGTGACTTTTATTTAAAAACCAAGTATTTGCACCGATATCCATAAAAATGTATCTAGTGTTGAAATTAGTTAATTACCTTCTCACTCCAATCTAGACGCCAGCTTTTTAACATCGCGTTGTTTTGCGCATTTGAGTCTTTTTAAATATTTAAAGATAATTTACAAAGGTGGCTGTCTGCCATATTTGTAAATAAATTTTATTCCTTTAGTCTATAACGATTTACCGCCTCGAGTACGGTTTGGTTACTTCTCTATAATATCAACGCGTCTAGACGGAGTACTATGCTTAATCCCTGAGACTATGCAACAGCACACTGTGCGCATATATACCGGAATGTCTATCGCTAATACACAAACACGAGCTGTAGACACTAGAAACGATTGATCCACGATTCAGTTTGAGGTTTATTAGAAGCAAATGCTTAGAAGCGTGCTTCAATATATTGTATTACTTGGTAACAGTTCCGTTTGAAGTACTTGTAATCACGGCGGGAAACAGGTTATTAAATAAGTTTATCCTGAACGTGTTATCATCAAGACGGTAGCCTGTCAGCAATGTCGACCTCGCCACATCTATAAAGAGATTGCTAATTATATTTCTTCGCTGTAATACGAAAGAAATAAAAATATACACTTCTTGAACGGTTGCCCGGTACAAATTGTATTAGAGATCGGGGAATCTCGGGTCAAATTGCGGTCGGTGAGGCCGACAAGTAATTTCTTCAAGGATTTCTGCGTTTATTTTTTATTGCTGTGAAACGAAGGTGTAAACATGTGGTACACAAATGTATTTTGTATGGTAAATAATGATTAATGGAAACAGGTTCCAGGAATGTTAAAATTTAATAACATATACATATAAGTCTTTACTATAGGACTGTAAGCTCTAAACTCTCCAATAAACTCTTGTTATGCGACGTGGGATTCCAGATAAATTAAACATGATATGTGTGTTTAATACATTTGGCATGTGGCAACACATTAGCTAATAATTATTATGGCAACAAATCAGGCTGTTGGAACATTCATGTCACAACGATGATTTATGAGTCCATGATCCTTCAGATAAGCTCGTCAATTTACTCAGAAGCCACACATTACAGTGTTAATCAGATCAAGTAAGGGACACAAGTTTGCTCGTCTCGTTGACCCGAAAATAGTAGTCAAAGTATGATCTAGACTAGACTATCTTGCAACAGTTTTGAAAAGTATTTTATACTCATACTCCCGGTTTATAATGTTTTTGAATTCTACGAATACAATAACAAACTAATACTTAACTTTAATAAGGTATTAGTGTTACCTAACTATTTTCTCCTAATGCTGAAATACTCAAACGCTACTAAATTTTGACTCTCTTTTAAACTGTCAACCACCAAGCGGTCACCGGTGACCGCGACCTATTGTTCTTTAATTGTGTCTATAAAACCGGTACTCGACGAGTTAAGTATAGTTCTATCACTACAAATTCTTTGTAACTGACAGAGATGGCACGATATTTAAGTACAATTTAAAATTGAGTAGCCTTTCAGTATTCAGGAGTTTGAAGCACATCATTTAATAACAAAACAATAAAAGCCTCAATCTAATATTGCCATGAAAAGACCGATGACTGTTAATTAACCGTAAGAGGTATGTAAATGATTGTAGCAATTGGCGTTCCATAGACTCTGCCTACCCTCATGGGAGACGGGCGTAAAGTTATGTATGTATGTAATTTAAACCCTATTATGACGTCACATATAGGTTTCACTCATAAGTAACGTTAATGCGAGCAAAGATAGAGTGCATTAATAGTTTATTAACCGCTTTTAGCATATTTGATAGCAAGTACTATAGATATTATTATCTCAACATTAAGGATTAAGGGATTGACGTTAGCTTTGAGCTATTAATACGGGTACTAAAAAAGCAGCACATAAAAATCTAGATCTATACTTTTTAATATAAAAGCTAAAGGTTTTTTGTTTTACTGCGCTTATCTCCGGAACTGCTGCTGCGATTTGAATAATTCTTTTTGTGCTTGCAATGCTTCGATTACAAAACATCACGTCATGACTAATTCGAGCCGAGCAGCGCGTGGACCCGGCTACTCCAGTACTTAGTTCATAATGAAGTTTTTTTACATTTCTCAAAATAAAAAGATGCATGGACCATGTATTGTATGTACCATAGACCAAAAAAAGTACAGTACGAATAAACACTTTTCAAAATGGGTGAAACTAATTTTACCTTATTTTTTAACCGAATTCTATGACCACTTGTGTGTACTATACGTATGCATGTAAGTTGCGCGATAATCTCGCAATTGGTTTAACCGATTTTGATACGGTTTTCAGATAAGTATTTGTTATATTTAGGTAAGTTTTAGTATATTAATTAACCGACTTCATAAGATGAGGGGTTTATTCAAACGTAGTTTATAAAAGAACTATTACGCTATAGGTACATGGCATGAATACAGGTGAATGTTGCGGAAACCGGGTTTTATTTATTGTTAAAAAAATAATTACATATTATTTGATTTTGATATTATATAAATAGTAGTAGTACCAAACATACACAATGTGTTAGAATTCGCAATTACAAAATAATAACATTAAGTTTAAGCCGAATTTCCAGGTACGTAAATATTTATAAACAATATTAATGCAACTGATTTTACATAATAGTGGTAAACAGCTCTATGGATTGAAAATTGGCAATGACATGATTTCCCACAGCTAATTGCTACGTGGCAGTATCGAATGAATTATTACGGAATTATGCTGAACTATCGTTTCTTTTCACATTTTCACATGTAAATCCGGTTGGCAACTAGTCTCTGATTAGCATTAGATTGGAGTATTGCCTGCTATCAGGCCCTATGTAGCAATTGAGTTACCTCTATCAAGTTAAGCACAAAGGCCCAAGTTACGTTATCAATATGTGGAATATACATAGATCAAGAAGCTAATAAGGCTTTTGACTGAATGATTTTCCAAATGTTTTTGTTGCTTTACTGAATGCCTTTGCACGGAAATGCTCTTTTTTTATCAAAGAGTAATATTCTATTATCAAGTGAACAAAATTGTGCTATCAACATTCAAAATGAATTTCTACAGTTGCACGACGTTGCATAATAAAGTACCTACATTTTGCAACGTTAAGTAAACCTGTGCTTAAAGTCATTAAAGGCTACTTATGCGTTCAAGCGACGTTCTAATGCTAAAGTATGGCTAAATATGTACCCGAACACTCCCGCTTCCATTTCTCAAAGTACTTAGGATTTGTAGTTATTAGTTTACCGACTGAGAGCATTGGTACTTCTTTTAAATCAACTGGTTGACAGAAGTAAATATCATTCTGTATATCTTTGCCAGCGACGGCGGAGCTTGTAGCGTGAATGCAATCGAATTTGAATTTCATCTTGTCAAATTTTGCAGGCGACGGAATTTTTCGTGTACGCCGGTATGCTTGCTATCGCAATGTTGGTGTTCCTGCGGATGGCACAAGACTACCACTCAAGAAATATCGACGCAGACGCCTCGTCCTCAGAAAGTCGCCCATTGCTTCACCATCGATCCAAAGTAAATTGCATGCATTAATGATTTTGAAAAGTACTTGCATAGGTTAAATGTTGGTAATAAGTTTAGGTATTACTATATAAACATGATCAAACACACGCTTATTTTGTAATGTAATTAGTATTAAATTGCCATTATTTTAACCCTGAAACAATCCAATGCGAACAATGTGTCAAACAAATATTCAGTTTATATAGAATTTCATTTAATTTCAAAACAACGAAGACAAAGCTTATTGTGAATTTGTCCAACACCACATTAACATAATTCTATCACCTGAATTGTGAAAATAATATGAAACGTATTTGGCCCGTGTGTTACCAATTTCACCGCATACTTTTCGAGTACAAAATAATATAACGGTTTTATTATAAGGCACACAATGAGTTTGTATTCAGAATGTAGTATCAGGAACTTAACAATATTTTTCAAAATGAACACAAAGTGGTTTGGTAAGTAACTTTTCCACACTTAAGTTGAAACAAACAGTTTGTTGAACGAAATAATAAATAAAATTTATTTTTAAACGTAACACCCGGGCGACGTGCATTTGTTTTCAAAACAAGTCGATGAAAGATGCATGAACGTGATGGTAAATTGCTTCATAGAGAAACAAATATTTTTTAATCATGATCATCATATCAGCCACAGGACGTCCACTGCTGAACATAGGCCTCCCCCAATGACTTCCAGATAGGCCGGTTGGAAGTGACCTGCATCCGGGGGCTCTTTGTGACCTTGATCAGGTCGTCTGACCACCTTGCGAACAGATATCTTACGCAGCGCTTTCTGGTACGTGGCCTCCACTCGAGATCCTTTCTGCCTCAGCGACCGTCGGTTCTCCGTGCTATGTGACCTATGTCGGCCACCTTAGTTCGTTTGCGGATTTCCTTGACTTTTGTCCTATCTCGCAAAGAAACTCCGAGCATAGCCCTTTCCATAGCGAGCTGAGCGACCTTGAGCTTCTTTATAAGGCCCACAGCGAGGGACCACGTTTCACTTCCATAGATCATATTTTTTAATGAATAAGTCAAAGTACTGTTATAGCGAGGAATGAGAAGCCTCTAAGAGTGAAAAGAAAGTATTAGTTCAACAGATCCCCATTCAAAATTGCATCGGAACCTCGCCACCCTCTGTGGCTGCTGTATTTTAAGAGGCTTAGTGTTTGTCTCAGCATTTTTCCACAAAGATAAAACTTTTATGGTTGTCCGCTGTTGTAACAGCGAACAATTTTATGCATAGAAGCCAAAGTATTAAGTCTATTGTGTTAAATTTCTATTTATACGAGTCTCTCTATTTTCATTTTGTGATGCTCCAAGTAAATAATTTAGGTAAACAGGCTTTTAGCGCACTTTTAGTATCTATATTGTACTTGTTTGACTTACGCAATGATATTATGCGAGTGTCTCAGTTTAGGGTTTTACGTATAAGACCGACTTTTTACCAAAAAATCATCGATACTTAATACGCATGAAATGGAGCCTAATGCCTAATTTCAACATTCACAACAAAGTATTGTATCCTATCCTTTAAAATGTTAGTAAGGATACTAACATTTTAAATGCGAAGGTTTTTGTTTGACTGCCTCTATATTTTTTAAATGTCTTAATAGAGGTATAGCCATTTAATATTTTAGTATTTATCTTCACAGAAAAAGCTGCGGGTAACATCAGGTTTCATATAATTATTTGTATAGGTATTCAAATTATGAAATGGTCAGCCGTCTAGACTAGTTTGTTTAGCTGTCGTATTGAACCCTACACCTTCCACTTAACTATGGTACAACTTTAACCAATCGACTTAATTAAATAGACCCATAATGAAGACGTTTAGTCAACTACATAATTACTTTAACATCATAAGGTTCAATTTCGTATGCAGGCTATGATGATAGAGTTCTTACATTGCTTTTAGGTTGAGATTCTTTAATTAAAAAAATCGTATTCCTTTTTTTAACGCACAGACTGATCTTTTCAAATATTAATATTTTATAAAAAATGTTGCAAGTTTGCAATTTGTCTGACGACCCAAGTTTCTTTAGACTTTCGATAGTGATGCTTATTAAACGCTACCGTATATTTAAAATTAAACCAGTGGCTCTTCAAAGGTTTGGTCGGGTGCTATTTCATTTCTTGATGGATTTCAAATTTTTTACATAGTACGTAAAGGAATGAAAACACTTTTCATTACGAACGATATAAATTATAGTTATATTTTATGCCATCAACCTTTTACGTTATTTTTTAATTAAACCTAATAATTTCGACGATTGATTTAATTTAGTAATGTGTAATCAATATAAATCTGATCGCAGGTGATCTCAGTACATTCGTTGTCGACGTCAAGTACTCGTGCCTTCGGCGGGACGGGCAGCAGTGCAGCTTCGTGTTTGGGCGTGATGGAGCGCTCACGACCCGCGGCCTGGCCTCAGCGAGCATACGTCCATATAGCCACGCCAAGCACTGCTGAACCCAAAGCTACTACACTAGCACAGGAATAATAACTTATTTACATAACACCTGACTTTTAAACACATTTTATTAAGACAGTTTATTTAATTTGCATTCAAGCAATAAGTTAGAATGAGTTAGAGAAGTGAGCAATAACATTGAATTAAATAAGTGCCTCCTTCAACAATTGACACAAAAAACAGATGCGACAAAAAGGGAAAACGTCGTACGTTCTTACATTTGAGGTGCTACGCCGCTACGGCGCTACGCAACGTAGCGATTGCTCGTAGCAGATTACGTAGCCTTTTAATTTATCAGACAGTTCGTTCATAAGTCGCGTTTTAATAATTTATTGTAATCATCGTCATCATCAAAAGCCTATAAGAGCTACATTTATTAAATGCGGGTTAGCGATTTTAAACTTATAAATAGAATTATAAGCCCAGGTTTCCTGACGACGTTTTCCTTCTCTGTATACTACTGGTGTCTAAATAATTTTAGAAAGGACATATAGGTAACTCGAAAATTGTCGCGTTGGTAGATGCCAGGTTTCGAACCCGCGTGTGCATGAGGACCACCATGACATATATTATATGTAAAGACTGTTATAATAAACAAAAATGCTAGAATTGACTTGATCGTAATGATGTATGCTCGTCATACAACTCATTTGGATGCCTGAATGCATAGAAATGTGAATAATCTAGATAGTCGAATAACAGGTGTATCATTATCAATTCGTTTGCAAACTCAATGAAAATTTAGTAAACCATGTATTCGAGGAATAGTGGTGTCCGTAAATATTACTAATATCGACGTTTTGTATAAGGGGACGGCAGATTAAATATATTTACGTAAGTATGTGAAGGTTTTTTAAAGTAGTTTAAACCGTTTATTTAGAACATAATTTTTAATTTAGTTATATGTGACGATAATGTTGTAATTTGTAATTTTTCGTAGTTTGATTATTTATAAGTTTTACTAATAAAATTGTTATAGCTTTTGTCTGAGTTTATTATTGAATGAATCGTATCATACATTCCCACGACCAGAACCTAATAGATTACGAATGTCAGATTGATAGTATCAACGTAACTGAGATTATGAAATTGGATATTTTGAGCTGTTGTAAGTAATTTTTATGAACATTCTTGAAAGTATATGCGTTTTTAAACATTTCTTGAGTATTTTATGGTTTATAGAAATGGCAAATCCTATTATCCCTGTCTAGTTTACCATTTCCAATGTATACCTCAGTGAATCGATTTGTATAGTCTGTTGAGTTACACGCTGATCTATAATATTTATGCTTCACTACATAGTATAAAATAAAATCGCTATCTGCCGTCTGTCTGTCCCTATGTATGCTTAGATCTACGACAACAACAACAACTACGCAACGGATTTTAGTGCGGTTTTTTTTTAATAGATAGAGTGATTCTTAAGGAAACTTTATACTTTATATGTATAATACATGCATATTGCATCCGTGCGAAGCCAGGGCGGGTCGCTAGTCTATATCTATATATATATAAAAATAAAACCCGTTTCCCGTTGTCACGCCATAACTTGAGAACGGCTAGACCGATCAGGCTGATTTTTTTTGTTGTGTTTGTTATTGTCAGAAGAAGGTTCTTATGACAGAAAAAAAACCTGAAAGTCTTATGGGATCTGGAGAAAACGGGATTGCGCGTACGAAGTCACGGGCAGAAGCTAGTATAATTATAAATTGTAAACATTTGTGGCATGGTAGGGGCGCGGAGATTGCCAATGCATCGTCTGAAATTCCTCCTAGATTATCCTTCGATGGATTTTCGTAGACGATCACAGTATTAGAGTGTCGACGTAGATTGCGGTAGTCATTGTTAAAAATATACCTCTACACAATTAAAGACTGTTCTTCAAAACTGCATTGTATAAAATCTTAAGAACACAAGGGATGATGTCTTCAAATTTTGGTCAAAAAAGAATGAAGTGAAATATCTAAAGTCAAAGTCAAAGCATTTATTTATAATTAAACCATATTTTGGTACTTTTGAAACGTCAACAAATACAAAATAAATATTAGTCTGTCAGTCAGTCCGTCAGTGAAGCTAGGTGAAGCTAGGTGCTCATTCCAAAATGTAGATTCGAATGGAGAAGAACGAGCAAGAAACTCCATTCGTTACTCTTTTAAAAAAAGTGTGTTCTACAATGTCTCTGATACATATTCCGATACTATACGCATATTTGTATTATTTATTCAAGTCTCGTTGTAGTATTTGTTAAATGATACATATAGTTTTTAAGATTCAAAGCCTTAATTTAACAGTGGATATCTTTGACGATATGAGTATTGGAAAATGTTAATCTTAGTTGACTAAAGCAGTAGAATTTCAAAACACAAAGTTTCAGGATTCAGCATTTACATAAATATAATGACGTAGCTAGGTTAATAATAATTACCTACTCGATCGAGTTGAAATGCAGCGAGGCGATGGCAACGTTACATCACTACCCGCCAACAATATGGCATCAGGCTATCGGGTTCGTCGTCTGAGCTATCACAGTTCCAATCACATCTATACCTAAGCTACGTGCACAATCAATTATTGCAAGACTGGGCGCAATATGATCGGCGTACATATTACGGGCGAGAGCTCACTCCGGCCAGCCGCTCCGATATGACGGTGACGTAAACATATTAGTGACCACATCTTCGTCCTAATTGAGCTCACGAATGACTCTTGGGAGCTTATATTGATCTTATTCTTTACACATGGACTGAACCTCACCCCGTATTATCCCTGATAATGCGGATTTTCTCCCACAACGCTTAAATATTTGAAATCCAATATATCCGCCTCTAACAATGGATCATTTTATTTACAGATAAGTGTGAAATGCGATGCTTTTTACTTATTTTTATGTTTCGGGTTGTCACTTGTTTACGTTCTAATCTAAAACTTGAACATGATAATAACAGCAAAGCGCATTTGCCTGTAATGTTCGACGAAAATAATTATTGGAATACGGGAGATATACCTATACTTAATAGAAAGGTACGCTAGACTAACATTGCTTACTTTGATATATTAAGTTCCATTAAAATATAATTGGTTGTTAATGTATATTGTACAATAACAGTTAACGGAAGTTGTTTTACTTGCTTTTTCATATTGAATAAGAATGCAATAATGTTTCGAACAGGGTCGGGGAGAAAATAATGATCGTATATCTAATAAAAGCTGTCTTGTACGCAGTTAAAAGTGCGCTGCAAATGAGGAAACAATTGATGGTATTTTCCGATAGCCATTGTTGTACAGAAACCCTCATACATTCCTGGTATCGTTTTGATAGGAAATATAAAATCGTGGGAGAATAAATCCGATATTAAAACCACATAACTACCTTTACATGCGTAGTCAATATTTATTAATATTAAGAAGTTGGGATTCCAAGATAACTTTTACATGTATCTTGATTAATTTCAGGTGTTCAAGGGCAAGCGAGTGACAATCCGGGAACACCCTTACATAGCGAGTATTCGGCGGAACATAATGCATTATTCGGTAGCGACTGTCCTTACTAAAAACTTGTTCGTAACTGTGGCACATCCTTTGATCAAGTGAGTTAATGAATATAGTTACTGCGCGCCTAATTCATCCAGCTAACAGCTAATATTATCCGAGATTGAATTATGTTCCTCTTCTCCATTAACTAATTACCTGAGACAAGAAATATGCTGCTACCGCTACATTTTAACTTCCGCTACAGCCGCTAAATATGCTTAAGAAATGTCACGGCTCTGCAACATTTTATATATTTTCTCCAATACAAATAAAGTTAACGATTTACCGGACCAGACCAGTTAGTAGAGAGAAATCTAGTTAATCCTTTAAATCAATTTTCTTATAATTGCTAAGATTGATAGAATCGCTTGGATTGAAAAATCTACGGTGAATAGGTAAATTCTTTTTGAGAGAGGTATTCACATTGAATTTTTATAAATAATAACGGCCAAGAATAAAAGATTGATTTCTTGTACATTTCTTCTTGAGCACATACAAGCTTATAAGTAACAATTTCTGCAATTCTTATAAGGCTTTGGAAAAAGTCAGTAGCCTACTTGCTAAGCCATTGCATAAATGACGATAGCAGACGGGTTCAACGACCTGACTCATGGGTTGTAGTTCCCGCCTCACAATCGCTCATAGATTGCAACATCGAGTTTGTAATGAATCTTTAACAAAGTTTATATTTTTCGTTCAAGAGTTTATTGAATCATGATTTGTTTAGGAATATGGAATCATAGGAATTTGTTGTAGAAACTGTAGGTTCTGGTATTGTGTTACAAAATCTGAACAAACAGATGTACAGATTCAGAAATAAAAGCAGGTATCTTGTAATATAAAACTTGCTATAAAATGTGAATGTTTAAGATATATTTTCTTAATACGTTTGGCATTCGGAAATAAAAGTTAGATACAATCAGTAATTTCACCAAAACCTTCTTCTTAAAAATCGGAACGTAGCAATAGCTGCAATGCTGTTTTCCTGGTTTTATCGAAGAAATAAAAATGAAATGATGCTCTTCAACGGATAAGTCTATTTCCGTGTTTTAAAAAATTCTTGGGAGTTTCATTCACGTTTTTTGATTTTACGCCCTTTGTCCTTGGCGTAGAAGTTTTCATAAGGAAAAATGCAGGTTGAGTGCGACTTCGGTGTCGATTCATGAGTACAATTACTGGGAGAGGTAAAGTATTTAAGGGATTTCTTGGCAGTTTATAGGTTTTTGTATTAACTCGAAGTCTGTAAACTCATTCATTGTATAGCAATATCGATTAATTTCTTAATATAATATTACTTATAAAAAGTAGGTATTCCATTAAAATGTGCACCTCTGCCTACAAATTTGAGGATGTTATGTTAATTTATAAATTACAGCGTCCCACTTGATCAGTTGGGAATAGTGGTGGGTGAAAACTACGCGGACCGAGGAGCCTCCTTGCTGACTGTGTTGCTGGTGATCATTCACGAGGCCTTCGACAAGTACACCTTGGCAGCTGACATCGCCCTGCTAAGAGTCTACGAAGATGTGGCTTTCAGGTATAGATTACTGTTTCAGGTATATTATATTACAGCTTTATTTAACTTACTCCGTTTGTTTGTTTGTGTTAAATCTAGTGACTGATATCTTGTCCCCTTCCTGATGACAGGTCGCTCTGATTGATATTTGGTACATATTTATAATCTTCATGACGATACAATATTATCTATTTTTTCCATCACTCCTTCCATTATGGATGTCAATCGTAAAGGCTTGTTCGGTAGAATATATCTCATTAAAACCGTTTACCATAAAAAGAAATTATAACTACATTAAAGAGGCTAAGTTGAGCCCTTAGTTCAGCATTGAACTGACGATCTGTCAGCTGACGATGTTAATTAAACTAATTTTTAACAATTTTTCTATGATGTGTAAAATCAGAATATGTGTGTGCGTGTCTGTCTATTGCATGATTTGTCTTTCTCTTTAGGTTGCTTATTTAGAGTTATAAATTAACCCTTAAAATGCCACGTCAGTCACCAGCCTGACCCTAGAGGGTTTTGACTCACCATTTCAAACTTAGCAGTTTAAGTGTTAAGTAAATATTATAGTTAAGCTGTTGATGCTATAATGGCTAACCGCAAATACTTACGCTTCATTTGCAGCTATCTTATCCTATAAATGGTTTAGTCCGCGAGAAGATCTAATCACAATAATTTTTCAAAGCTAATTTCACACTCTGGTTTATATTTCTCATCTAATTTCTAAATCGTTTAGCTAGTTCAGGAAAAATATGGTCAATATTTGTTGGTTAAGTGTTTTTGATGTTGCATAGTGAATCGAGTTAAAATTATTGGCTGGTAATAAGGTACCTTTTAAAAAGTTGTAAGTAGTAAAGTAAAGTAAGTTGTTGTGCTCTCATCACATCAGACATAATTTCAAATTACTGGTTTTAAATTTGGAAAAGTTTAATTATTGCATTTTAGAAAATTAGAAATAATCATCAAATAATCATTCTCATGCATGAGGGTGCGGGTTCGAAACCTACCAACGGCAAGTGCCAATGTGACTTTTTCCGAGTTATATGTACTTTCTAAGATTTTTCAGACACCACTGACAAACGGTGAAGGAAAACATCGTGAGGAAACCTAGGCTTATAAATTTCTAATTGTAAGTTTGAAATCACCAACCCGTATTGAGCAAGCGTGGTGATTATCGCTCAAACCTTCTCCGTGTGAGAAGAGGCTTTGCTCAGCAGTGGGCATTTATAGGCTGTTGATGATGATGATGGGAAATAATCAGTGATTATGTTGGTGATGACACTTTGTTCCACATGATACTCACGCTCATTCACAGTGGGGGTCCGATAGACATAACCACTGGATCTTATATTTTATTTCATAGATTGACCGTACTCTTTCTATTTGTAGTGGAATAAAAATATGTCAGCGTTACGTTGGGGATAATAAAATTACACACACACACAACTATGGTAGCGAGCCTGCGTATTATCTCATTAGTGTGCCGGGTTCCATTATTCATAATATTAATTTACTACTATCACCCAATTAACTTCATGCTGTATAATACATAATAAAGAGCTATTCAAAAACTAAATTACTTGAGTAATACCCGAACGCTAATGAAATCTGTGCCCTGTTTTTTTACAAATAAACAAGTGTGGGAGACTCATGCTTCGGCACGAGACCGACTCGACTGGACTGATACTACAGCCAAACAGAAAACCGACGTGAATCAGCACCTGCATTGTGTTTCGTCGTGTGAGTGAGGTTACCGGAACTCCAGTTACCCCAATTCTCACAATTCTCAAATTCCTAATCCCCGAAAGGCCGGTAACGCACTTGTAACACCTCTGATGTTCCGGGCGGCCATAGGCGGCGCCGATTGCTTACTACCAGGTGATCCGTCGGATCGTATACCGGCTTATTCCATAAAAAAAAAAACTTGATAATCTAGAAATATCTATTAGTATCCTATAATAAGTGGATTAGTTCTAATTCGTTGGTTTTACTTCTTGACTTTGATTTATTTTATTTATTGTGATGCACAAAACAAAATATACTTACACGGTAATAACAAAAGATGGCTCAGACCTTAATTGTAACGCAAACATTATTTAAGCAAGCAAGATTATGAAAGCAAACCGTCTATTTTACTTTTTAAAAGTTTGTTAAAAAGGTTCAATAACAGTAAGTGTTTGGTTTGTGTAATCTACTCTCTTAAACTGTCAAACACCGCGAGGACACCGGTGTCCGCACACCTATTGTTCTTTAATTGTGTCTGTAATGATGGTACTCAAAGGGTTCATATGATTTACTGACGTTGGTTTCTTTTAATAGATACAATTACCATTTTATAAAACTAATGCAACAAACAAACATTAATTTAATGATTACTAGTTATTGTGATTTTATATACATAAGTAACATTGTGTCAATAGTAATATATACTGCCTCGTTGGCCGAGTGGTCGCAATTGCGACTGCCGGGTAAGGGTCTCGGGTTCGATTCCCGGGTCGGGCAAAGTATTACTGGGTTTAAAAAAAAATCTCAGTAGTAGCACGGAGTCTGGAACTGTGCCCGGTAAATGGCAATAGGCTCACCCCCTATTACATGGGACTCATAACATAAATAGTGAAAAGTGGGTGTTACATTGTACTTACAGTGGTATAATGTGCACCTCTGCCTACCCCTTCGAGGATAAAAGGCGTGATGTTATGTTTTTTTGTAAGTAGCATTGTGTCAATAGTAATATTCGCTTCGAATCGTGATGGAAGTAGCGTGTTTATCTTGCAACTTGAATTTTATAACATTTTTATTTCCAAAATGGTACTTTCATTTATTATTATTACAAGAAACTTTCTGCTCTTTAAAGAATATACATATATTGACTTGAAAAGATGACTTTTACATAATATATTGTGTTTGTTCAACGTTGTAAACTGCTTCATTCTGAAATGTTATTATAAATTACCTTATATTTTTCCCTTTCCTATTCCTAAAAGTAATGTTATTGTTAGCTTATAATGTGCATTTTCTTAATGTATTGTAGGTTAATTGTGTACATTTACCATTGAATAATATGTTACATGACGAGTTCATTTCGCTATTAGCATTTCTAGGCTGTAGTAAATATTTGCACCGACCTGGTTACATAGTCTGGAAGCCAATATCTTGCTTCAGTTACTGTGTTAATGATATATGCATACATTTGTGGAGACTGTAATAGAATACGCGCACACAATAATGCTACTTTACAATTATATTACTTTACATGTTTTTCTGTCACCTAAGGCTGTTGACAGACGTACCGCAGTTCAATTGCAGTCCAACCCCAAATTGCCGTTTGGATGCAGTTTGAATGCAACTGCAATAGAACTGCAATCGGCTACACGATTACATTTTTTTTATAGAATAGGTATATTGTACAGAGGGCTTAGTACGAGTTAGTTTTACGTTAAAAGTAATCGAAACGAGAACGCGTTCGGCGCTTTGATTGGTTGGTTCATTGGCACCGGCCAATCTCAGCGCCGAACGCGTACTCGTTACGATTACTTTAAACGTAAAAGAAACTCGTACTAGGCCTTAGTACGAGTTTCTTTTGACGATCTGACGTCATTAACATTTTGAAGTCAAACACTGGACTGAGGTGTTTGTCATAAACAGATTTCAACATCACTCGGTTTGCGTCCACAGCTAGCTAGCTGTAGCTCTGTAGCTACAGAGCTTGATCTTCATTCTTTGCATCCGACCACTGCCAGGCATTTGGGGAAATCGTCATTCCATGTAGCTGGTGTGCACTCAGCATAAGTACGGCTTCCTCTTCAGAATCGGCTCTTTGTGATAGCATTTAAAAAGAAAAAAGGATTTATTTACTAGTCACTTTTTTATAACACACTTTGACTCACGCGAAAATCGAAATCAGCGCGATATCACAACCCTGGGTTTAGTCGTGCCAGAGCGAGATTTTTTTACTTTGTAGTAGGTCATGCTCACTATGGGATCGTTACAGAATTACAGGCACTTTAGGAAATAATAAGAAAAACATCTATGTACGAGGATTGACATTTTTATATGTTGGAAATTTTTCAGGTGTTCAGTGAAGTTTATCCAGCTGGTACATCCGACGGTTGGTCTCAATAAACAACGAGCGTTTATCACGGGATGGGGGCGCTGCGATCGCACGGTTGTACCACTTTCTTAATTATGGTTTAGAATTTAGAGTTAGGTATAACATATCGTGTTTTACACACCTATCTTTCTGGAGTGACCATAACACCTGTGAAAGTGAAAGTAGTGTACATTCGAAAGATAACTTTTTTGTTGGTCAATTACGTCGAAATGGCTGAAGGGATGTAACATATGCGCTAGGAAACCGGTGGCAGAAGATAGTAATCATATAGGTAGATATATTTAAGCCATTTCCCGTAAAACATTCCTTTTATAAAAACAAACAACGAACCAGTCTAATAACGACATTACAATAAAAAAATGACAACGATTGATGGAGGCACTGTGTCTGTGTCTCTCAGCTCAGCACATGTCAATATGGAGGCACACAATAATATAAAGTGTTCCTGATGGATAGAGCACTCGCAGACGTGTATCGTTTGAGTTCGAACGTATTCTGTTATAATTGGATCAGCCAGTGATGCGCAACAAACAGCGCAGTTGGCAGCGCAACACGTTGCAAACAAGACCATCAGCTGCTGTGATCCGAATACTCGATTGTCGACTCACTGTTAGATACATATGTCCTCAATTCAACATGTCATGTTTTTGAATTCCCTTTACATAGATCTCAATCCTACAAATATTGCACAGAAATATAATTGCTGAATTCGAGCTGTGTGTTGATTTTGTTTGTTATAGGTTAGTTTAGACACTACAGCCATGTTTTGTGCTGCGACGCTCTAAAAAGCTATTGAAATCGTGTGCTTCAGATAAGTACCATCCAATATTCGAATTGTATCCGTTGTTACAAGTACTTTCTATGTGTCGGCTGTGAAATAGTGAGTGGAATGACTACATACATCTTTTGTTAGATATTACGTAAATGCAAGTACCTTACATTATACAAATTGCAAATGCAGTATGTCTCTACAAAATGCAACAACGTGCAAT